GAGTGGGACTGGTTCCAGCGCGAGGGCTTCATCGGGCAGATCAGCGACATCCGCGTCCAGAACCTCCAAGGTACGCGCCGCGGCCCCGGAGGCGGGGGGACACCCCAGCCTCTGAGCGCGCGCCTGGGGAGCCGTGCCCCCGGCCTGCTGGCCCGGTGCAGCTCGGCGAGGGCTCGAGGGGCGCGGGAGACTGCCCCCCAGTCCCTGCTGGGCGCCTGGCGCCGGCTCCACCGGGCCTGGCTGGGCAGGGCGGCACACGTGTGTGTGTCCGAGGTCCCCCATTTTCCTTTGGGATCTGCGTCTCGGGAGCAGCCCCCCTGCAGCCACCACGGCGACTTTGGAGAAGTTGTGCGCGTGGGCTCTTGGGGGCGGTGGCCCAGGTCAGGGAGGAGGGGAGAGTGCGAGTGTGTGTGCGCCCACTGTCCGGAGACCCCCCCCAGCCCGGCTACCCCGGGCTGGAGAGAGGGCAGCGCCGCGGGGGAGCAGGGGAGTAGGTGCGGGGCCAGCAGGCCCCCAAGGGCGGCCACTTTCCCGGGCTACTGCCCTGCCGGTTCTCGGACTGCAGCTGGGGAGAGGGCGAGACTCTTCCCCCCTCCAGTAATGCTTCCACGCCGCGCAGACCCCAGCAGTGTGCCGCGTTTTGAGCCAAGGTGAACTTGGAGTCCAGGGCTGGGGGTGGCTTGTTGCACAGATGAAGTGTGTTTATCTTTCCCGAGTCTGAAAACTTAGAAAGCATCCAAGTGTGTAAAGGGCAAAAAAAATATCACCCTACTCCGCCCACCCAAACAGATGTCCGCCTGGTGGAGGGGGTTTGTCCGCCTTTGCTTATCATCGTGAGAGCCTCCAACTCTTCCGAGTTCGGTTTCCGGGCCCCTCAGGTGCCCACCTGTGCAGGTGAATTACCTTAGACGCGTCCTCTGTAGGCTTGGATTCCGAGGACTTCTAGGATTGGGGGGTGGTTTAGGGGGGATGCTAGGCTGCCGTGGCAGAGAGGAGGGTGATGGGCCTGTCGGTGTGGTGGCCCCGCCCCCAGCAGGTGATCCGGGCCAGGGGCCAGCCAGGCAGTAAAGTTTAAACATTACACCTGAGAGTCTGTTTCCTGGGAGCCGGGGGCACGGGCTCCGCCCCTCAGCTGGGCAAGAACAGCACCCGCAGAGGCGATCTGGAGCCAGGCAGCCGGGCACGCTGGAATGGAGCTTGCTCTTGGCTACCCTGATCTCGGACTGTAATTTAATTTTTACGAAAAGGAAGATGGAGCTGGAGATGTTGCTAATGGTCTTTTGGTAATAAGCACTTGCCCGGATCTTGTTGCCCGAGAAAAACCACCACCCTCTCTGGGAGTGGGCCTTAGACAGCTCCTTTTGCCGCGATGGTATCTGGTTTGGGCTCTCAGGGCGTGTAGGTCTTAGGTGGCCAGTGGGTGTTTAATGAGCACTCTGACCAATGGTTGACCCCAAATCCCTTGCGTTTGGGGAACACCCCTTCAGAGCTGGGACTTCTGGGCCTCCAAGAGAGGGCTGTAGGGCAGAGGCGACAGGGTTTTGTGAGGAGATATCCTACAGAATGAGCAGTCCTTACATCTGGGATGATTCGAGATGGGTCCTGAAGGATGAGTAGAAGTTCACAGAGCTGACTCTTCCCTCTCCCTTGGCTTCAAATCATTTGTCCTCTATAAAGTGCACATATCTCCAGTTTAAACTCTCTGGGTCTTCATATATGGATATACCACTCGAGATCAAGATACACCAGCTGTTCATCTCCTCTCTCAATTAAATGGTAACCCTCCTGTGCTGGAGGTAATTCAGACTTAGCTTGAATTTTTCCAAACTAAGGAGCCCCGACATAGCATATTGATATGTTTTCACATAGCATATTAATACATTAATACCATAGGGATGAGCGCTGGTGGCCTCGTGGGTAGGGAGTTGAGTTGTAAATCCAGAGACAGACAGTTCAAATCCACCAGCCGCTCTGCAGGAGAAAAGTGGATGTTCTCCGCCACAGCGTGGCTTACAGCCTCTGACACCTGCTGCAGGGTCAGCTGTGAGTCTGTTCTGACTTGATGGCAATGGGTTGAGTTGAATACTGTGTTATGGAACTTAGCTGCTAACTAAAAGGTTGTCAGTTCAAACCTCCACTTGCTCCCTGAGTAAAAGAGAAGGCAACCGCTTCTTCAAGATCTGTGGTCTTGGAAACCTGATGCTTCCTCCCTGGCCTGCAGGGTGACTGTGAGTTGACTTAACTGGACAGCAGTGGATTTGATTTCCTCATTACAGTTTCATATAAAATGGACTCCTCCGTTATGTGCTCTTGGGATTCAGCCTTTTAAACTCAGCATTATGTTCGGTGGGATTCATTCGTGTTAGGTCAGTCCCATCTGTGGTGGGATTCATACCACTCTAAGCCCAAATCCACTGCCTTTGGTTCCGTGTCAACGTGTAACAACCTTCGCTGGGTTTCTGAGGCTGTACTCCTTTACAGGAGGAGACTGACCGTCTTCCACAGAGCAGCCAGAGGACTCAAACGGCTCACCTTCCAGTTAGCAGCCTGACACACTGTGTACCGGTTTAGTTCCTTTTTATTACTGAACGTGGTCCGCTTGATGGGCGTACCATAGTTTGTTTCTCCACCCTTCTGCTGAGGAACAGTTTGGTGTCTTGCAGTTTGTGGCAATTATGAATAAGGGTGTGTGTGAGGGACAGTCATCCCCGTCCTGTCGGGCGCGTCCCCAGGAGTGGAGCTGTAGGCTCAGAGTCTGCCTTGACTCCCTGTGACCTTGGAGGACAAAACAGAACTGCCCCAAAGAGTTTGCAAGGCTGTAAAACTTTATGGTCATTTCTGTGGAGTGGCTGCTGGCTCCAGACCTCTGACCTGTTGATGAGTATTGCTGACAGGAAGGTGGGAATGGAGTTGGGGCAGGAACCCAACTTCTTTCCCAGGTTGTCTCTTAAATGGATGTCCTTAAAAGGAACATGTTCAGTGCTTGCCTCTCTGGTGTCCAGGAAGTGCTGACCGGAGGATGAGTTCAGAAGGCACCCCACGCATGCTTAGAGCATCTGCCCGAACCAGCTGGTGGCCGTCAGCCAGGGTGACACTGCAGACCCTTGTCCATCTGGACTAGGTGTGGTGGCAGTCAGGGAGGCAGGAGGAGGCCAGCGGAAGGGCCTCTGCTGAAGCCTGGTGCCGACTTGCTGCCCAGGTGTGATAGCTGTACCTAGATTAGATCCTGTATATGCAGCTTCTGAATTACAGATGCCTTCTGTTCCTAAGTACGTGTGTAGGTCAGATTTGTAATTAAGTGGGAATAGTCCAGCAGAGGTCATAGATAGTATTTCAGCAACTCAAATCGTTGCCATTGATTGAAACTGATCTTTTAGGCAAGTATTCAGAGGCTGTAAATCACACAGGAGGAGACTGCCCATCTTTCTCCCTCGAAGCAGCTGGTGGGTTCAGACGACCAGGGAAGTAGAGCTTTGGGTTCATGGTGTGTCGCTCTGCAGTCTAGACCATCGGAGCTCTGCTCGTGTAGTGTTTGATGTCGTTGTAGAGCACCATGGAGTTGGAACTGACTCATAGCTGCGCCGCCTGCGGGTTTTCAGAGGCTGGAAATCGTGCAGGATCAGATTGCCCAACTTTGTCCCAAGAAGCAGCTGGTGGATTTGAACCATGAGCCTTTGGGTTGGCAGTGTAGCTCCTTATCCCTAAGCCCCCAGAGCTCCCTATGTAGTATTTAGCCAATAGTCATATACATTTCTATGTATTAAAAAAAAATGACAGAAATACAGACTTTAAAGCATCTTTAACATAATAATGACTCTGAAACCAAACACACTGCCACAGAATCAGTTCTCATTCATGGTGACCCTTTAAGATGGTAGAATTGCTCCCCACTTTCCGAGGATGTATATCTTGGGAGCAGACTGCTACGTCTTCTTCCTGCCTGCCTTCTGAGTGGTTGCTGGGTTCCAACCACTGACCTTTTGGGTAATAGCTGAGTGCTTGACCACTTTTTAAAATTTTTTAAAAGACGTGTAAAAATATGGACCGCTTCACAAATTTGCGTGCCTTCCTTGTGCGGGAGCCATGCTAATCTCTGTATCATTGCGATTTTGGGATATGTGCTGCTGAAATGAGCGTATTACCAACATCTCTTTTACTGTAAAGGCTCATTTGTTTGGTTTTTGAATCTCTGTAGCTCTCTCCTGATTAAAGGGAGAGATTTGCATTGGGAAAATCTGTAGCAGAGGACCTCTTTAAAGCGCTTTAGGAAGGATACCTCTTTGAGGATTAATGTGCATTTGACCAAAGCCGTGGTCTTTTCATTTGCCTCACATACTTTGGGTGTATTGTAAGGAGAGACTCTTCCTTGGAAAGGGTCAGTGTAAGAGAGGAAGACCCTCAATGAGATGGATTGACACAGTGACTGCAGCAGTGGCATGGAATGTGTCAGAAATGAGGGTGGCAAAGGATGTGACAGGGTGTAGATCTGCTGTTCACAGGGTCGCTGTGAGTTGTACTTGACACAGCAGCACCATATGGATGAGAAAGTTGGATGATGAATAAGGAAGACGAAAGAAGAACTGATGCCTCTGGATAATTGAGTTGGTGAAGAATAGTGACCGCACCATGGACTGCCAAAGAAGCCTAGCAGATCTGTCTTGGAAGCAATGCAACCAGAATACTCCTTAAATTCGAGGATGGTGAGGCTTTGTTGCATCTACTCTGCCGTCTCCTACTGTCAGGAGTGACCAGTCTCTGGAAAAAAGACATCACGCCTGGTAGAGTGTGACAGCAAGGAAGCCTCTCGACGAGACGGCGTCATCCAGCGGCTGGAACAGGGGCTTAAACTCAGCAGTGGCTGTGAGGCTGGTGCAGGACCGGTCCTGTCTTGTTGTCGTGTGCACAGGGTTGCTGTAAGTCACGGCCGCCTCAGTGGTACCTAGAGATGACACACATGTGGCCGTGTGGACTGGAAGGATCTTTTAAAAAAAATTTTTACTCTTGATTTCAATGAAACTTTACAGAGACTTTGGATTTCCATTCATTCACTGTTGCACTTTTCTCCCCTCC